AACACTACAGCTGCTGATCCAAGGGTAGAAATGCCTGTGGCCAATCTAAGTTAAGGGATACAGTAACATCACTAAGAAAGGGTGTAGTGTAATGGAAGGGGAATGAGTAAAAAGCTACTGTAGGCCTTGGAGAACCATTTCAAGACTCTGGCCATATGTTTTGTTTGCCCTCTGGTGACTGTTTTAGGAGAGGTTTCAGAGTAGCAGCCGTGTTAGTCTGTATCCGTAAAAAGAAAAGGAGGACTTGTGGCACCTTAGAGACTAAAAAATTTATTAGAGCATAAGCTTTCGGGAGCTACAGCTTGCATCCGATGAAGTGAGCTGTAGCTCACGAAAGGTTATGCTCTAATAAAATTTTTAGTCTCTAAGGTGCCACAAGTCCTCCTTTTGTTTTAGGAGATGCTTTAATGCAGGCTTGAAAAGGGCAGTTGGCCCTCTAGCGCCAAACAGTGGCTGTTGTAAGAGAAATAAATAGCAAATGAGTGAAGGCCCAGTAAAAACTTGTTGGCTTTATTCAATGTCTTATGGGCAAGTGAGAACCAGACAGCCAAAAACTATGTAAACACAGCTCATTTTCTGATGCTTCATGTCTTGTCCATGCTACAAAATGCTGCTGTTGGAGTAAATTAGGTGTACAGTTGAAGGAAGACTTTAAAAGCAAAAGATACACACTTATAATGGAACCCTGAGAAGAAAAAGTGCTAGTGAGGGAGTACAATGACTCTTTCAGTGCAGACTTACCAGTCTCCGTTGGACTTTTTCATAATGCAGTGTAGATACACATAAGATCTCCATGGGTGTTTATCTGCAAATATTGAACCTGTTTTTGGAGTGGTATCAAAACACAGGATCAAATGTCAAAGTTTGTTACATAAGAGAATGTTTCTACAGCAAGACCAGTTGTGTGTGTCTTTCCTCCCCCCAATACAGTCAGTGATCCAGTCACTAGCCAGTTTCCTAAGGGTCAATACACTGGTGCTTTTTACATATTAACTGCTTTAATAAATTATATTTAAACCAGTCACTGAGCTCTGTGCTCATGGTTTTGTCACCAGAACCCCCTCTCAAAATTTGCCCTACAATTTCTGATCCCAGCTTTTTTAGAAAAGTCAAATTTTATGTTTTGACTCTCTTGTATATTTAGACTGGCATCTTGGACAGTAATTTATAGCCTCTTTGGCCCTCAATACGTGGGGGCTGAAGTGATAGCTTGGCGCCAAGAAATTAACTGACCTGTTCTTACTTTCAGAGCTGTGGTATCTCGGTGGAGTTCTGCAGTCATGTCACAAGAGCATTCACTGTTAGTGCCAAGGGTAGCAGAGTAGAGCGTGCAGAAGAAGCACTCTCCTGCATGGGCAGTTCTGTAAGTGTCTGTTCCTTTGTAGTAATATGTTCCTTTTGTGTGTGCAGACAAAATGACTTAAACTCAAGTTCAGTGCTTTCCCATCATCACTGCAACTTTAATCAAGTAATACCTTGTTACTTACTAAATGCTTATGTTGTAGGATCCACTTTGCCTGTCATATACTGGGTGTCATTCTGCAATGGTTAACCTTCTGTTATAATGGTGTCAGTCACAATTCCCTACATGAGTCTAGATTTCTGTTATAGGCCTGAAAATAAGGTTTATAACTTCTGATTAGTTTGATTTGATTGTAAATTGTGATGCTTAAAATTGACTAAAACTTTCTAAAATTCATTTTTAAGTGTGACTATTCAGTGCTAGGTCATAGCCTGAAATTTTAAAAATGCTTGTCAGTTTATTGGCTCAGGTGTTCGGCAGGCATTATAGAACTCCAAACAGTTTCAGCTTTGACTTCTCTTCAATGTAGTTAACCTCTGGCGGTGCTTTCAACCAAAATTAGTTGGAGTATAGACTAAAGCCTGAGTGAAGGTTGCACAGGCTAGTTATGTTAGCTAACACATGGTATAAATATACTTTTTTGGGGTCTCTGTAGTTAGTTGGGTGATCAGCCACACTCATGTTAGTGTCCTTGCTGGTGTTGCATTCCCCCATATGTGTCACTAGGACTTCTGGGAGCATGGTTCTTAGTGCTGCGGTAAGCTGAACTGCTGTGACTTTCCCAATGAATCGTGTGAGAAATCTTCTGTCCTTCTGGGAATGCAAAGGGAATTGTTTTCCAGTGCCTTCCCCCCAGCGGTAGAATGGTTTTTCCTGTGTCCTCACCACAAATGGGCAGCTTACCAGCCTGATTGCAAGCTTCACTTGGGCTTGAGTGAGACAGCTAGCCTGTGTTAGAAACTTCAATGAAGTTGGGTCAGATGTGTGTGTGTGGATGGGAGCTGGGTTGGGGACAGCATCTGAGAAAGAACCTGAGTTAAGAACCTGCAGTGAAGTAATCCCCCCAGAATAACACAAGCTAAAATCTCAGTGAAGGCAAGGCCATTTTCAGTTTTTCCAGCTGTTAGGATTCCCCTTTGCCTTACCTTGACTTGCTTTTTTCTAAGGAAGATGTTCCCTGAATTGGAGCAGGGGCCTGTAGAGGCTTAAATATAATTCAAGCACATGATGATGCTCAATATGAGATTAAAATCAGCTGGCTGTGTCATGATTAAATGGAACTGTCCTGTGGTGATCACACCATGTCACATTGGAAGGGGAAATGGTTGTCAGAAAACCTTTTAGCCAAGTCAAAATTCCCTCTTCTAGTTTTTTGTTTCTGTAACATCTAAATATAAAATGAAATTACTAAGGGGGTGAGATGTAGTAGTGTTACAGGGGGATTCTTTATCAAGTGGGACTCCCAGTAGACTAACTTTCTTGATCTCCTTTCCTTTTTTGATTACATGCTCTTTTGAATTATACTTATTTTAGCTATATTCCTATTATCCTTCCTCTATTGCAGGCGTGGGCAAACTTTTTGTCCCGAGGGCCACATCTGGGTATGGCAATTGTATGGCAGGCTATCAATACTCACGAAATTGGGGGTAGGGGTGTGGGCTCTGGGGTTGGGCCAGAAATGAGTTCAGGGTGAGGGGGGGGCTCTGGGCTGGGACAGAGTTGTTTGGAGGGCAGGAGCGGGATCAGGGTGGTGGTTGTGGCATGTGGGGGGGCTTAAGGGTGCAGACTCCAGGCAGTGCTTACCTCGAGCAGTACCATGTCCCCACTCTTGCTCCTATGTGGAGGTGCGGCCAGGTGGTTCTGCATGCTGCCCTCGCAGCTCCCATTGGCTGCGGTTCCTGGCCAATGGGAGCTGCGGAGCTTGGGGCAGGGCACTGTGGAGCCCCCTGGCTGTCCCTGATAGGAGCTTGAGAGCTGGATTAAAAGGTCACAGTCCAGATGCAGTCTGTGGGCTGTAGTTTGCCCACCACTGCTCTATGCAGTATAAGGGATGATTGTACTTTCAAGGAATATTGCAATATTTAAACTTTCAGAATGGGTTATTTCTTCATTCTCACAGTTTTGCTAGTGAATAAGCGAGTCACATGACACCATGTCATTTTGCATGAAATCACTTAATTATTTTTAACCTCTTCTATTACCAGGTTTTCAGTGGTATCACTCTTACAAAATTTGGAGGAATTGTAGTGTTGTTCTTCTCCAAATCCCAAATCTTTCAGATCTTCTACTTCAGGATGTATCTAGCTATGGTGGTGCTTGGAGCTATCCATGGATTAATATTTCTTCCTGTTATGCTTAGTTATATAGGTAAGAATACACTTGACTGCTAAAGATGGATTTTAAAATCGGTGTAGTCTTCAACTTATCCCTCTCATTCAGTAAGAAAAAGAGTCTACAGCTGTATGCCTAAATAAACAGCTAGGGATATAGTTGCTTCAAATACATTAGATCACCTGCTGTGACCCACTTATAAGTTTAGTTTGTAGTAATTTGGTCCTGTTAAAATAGATCTGTTTACAGCGGACTTTCCATCCCTTTTCAGTAGTCTATAAATATAGTTGCACACCTTGTGGTAGCATTCCTGGAGTGCTACCAGTTCCGGTAATGTGTCTTACTGAGTCTCCTTTCTCAAGCCCTCAGTACAGTATTCTTTCCATCTTTAAGTGAGTTTCCTTCCACTATGCTGTGGGTACAGAAATGTTCACTGTGCAAGAGCTATGTCATAAGTTAAGAACATCTGTTAAATGAAAAATGCTTAATTCTCCTTCCCCTTTTCACCCATTTAGAAAGGGAAATCTCCAGTCTATGCTTTTCTACATCACTTGTATTATAAAAGTAAATATTACCTGATAGTGAGTCATTAGCAGTTGTACTGTATACAAAATAATCTAATCCTCAAAGTTGATATTTTGGCATATAGATGTTTGTGTTAAGAACCAATAACATTTTAAGTAAGGTGATCTTAACTACTTAGAGGGAATACTTTTCAGGAAAGCTATATTTCCTTTAGAGGAAATACTTAGCTAGAAAGTAGATAATCCATTAGTTCTGCTTTGACTAACAATACTGCCCATCTAGTTTATAGCTGCCTGTATTACTGAAGGATGATTTCAGAATATAACTCTCCCTTTTCTTTTACTCAGGTCCATCAGTAAATAAAGCTAAAACGCGTGCTGCACAAGAAAGACACAAAGGTACAGAACGAGAGAGACTCCTCTACTTCTAGCCCTTTTAACCGTGTTCAGTGGACTTCATGAACTGTGGCTTAGGCCCCATTCAGCATAAGACTGAACTGCAGCAATGTTCTATGACTATCACACTGCCCCCGGGTTTAACTTGTGCACCAATCCAACTACAGGAGAACAGCAGCTTTGGATATAAAGCTTCCAAACTCCAGAAGTATTGCTTGTGACTCATGGACTAGTATTACTAAAAGGAGATGTATTAACAGGATCTCTATTTTAAGAGGCTGCATCTTTTTCTTTGAGAAATATAACTGGTTAAACTTTCTCCAAAGCAAACTCAAGGTGATGTGTGTATGAGAATGGACTGCCAAACCACTGACGCTACTTTTAAATGCAACTCAATGCAATTTTTTGGCTTTATTTTTAGGGGAAAAACAAGCCATCACTCCAGAGGTTGTGTAATATTTTTAGTAATATTTGCCACAATGGTCTGTATATACTTTATTATAAAATCTGTAGTTCAAGATCTCATTACTTAAATGCAATAAATTATACATTTTGTATGAAAACAGTACACTTTCAGAAAGTGGTAGGCTTCATGAGAGCATGTTCTCCAAAAATCTGCTTGAAGAAGGTGACATGTTCTTCACAATGTTCTCCTGTAAGACAGGACAAAAGGCTTAGCACAAAATCCTATTATATTGTCCCTACGATGGGTGCGGTGACACTAAAATTCAGAACAAAATCAACTGCACCAATACTGGTGTTTAGGTTTTTCCTCCATGGAAGTGGTTTTTGCTTTACTTGCTTATGTTTTTAGCTTTTTTCATTAGAAGCAGCTGCTATTTTTAGAGTGAACTTCCCTTTTAAGGCCTGTCAGCTGAATAGCCTTAGCTGCTTCTGTTTTTAATGGTGTGACTGCAAGATCTGGGTATAGTTCTTCTAAGCTAGAGGCATATGCAGCACAAATTTTCTAATAATGGGGAAGGGAAGTATTAAAGTAGTTAAATGGAAACATAGTCCTTTGCTTTGGGTTTAGGTTGAATGTGTTACCTTGTGAGTCCAAAATTGTGGTGGTCACTAATCCATAATACTAGCTCATGTTCAAGTGACTTCACACAAGAGGAATGAGACAGCAGGGATGGTGTAAGTCTTTTTTATGCAGTTAAAAGTTTCAAATAGCTTTTGGTTGAGAATGTTCACATAACTAATTATTTTGAAAGGTTCTTCTGTATGCATACTTTTGTAAACTTGATAGTGGGGGAAGGGCACAACTTAAATGTTTCTAATAAACTTAAAGGCTGTTTGTTTATACCTTGATGTGTAACTTGGCTCTGTACACTGACAAAGAAAGTAACACATGTATGGGATACAGAGAATGTTTGCTGAAGTTCTAAGTAGTAGGTGCTGTCTTAAGGGATGTCTGTACTGCAGCTTGAGCACAAATGCACCTGAGGCCCTGGGTCTGCACTTGAGTGATGAGGCCCTTGCTATTTTTTAGTTCAGTACTCTACTTGGGTTGGGAGGTGCACACTCAGCTGCAGTGTAGCCATAGTAGATAAAACAGCATGTTAAACACTGTCCTTTTTATAAATTAACTCATTTCAACACCCATTTATGATTAGACTCCTGCCACTCATTCAAGTTACAAAATTATCTGCTAAATTACAAGTATTCAGGCCTCTTTCTTTGCCTTAAGGAAAGTGTCATGAGTTTTAAACACCTGATGAAAGGCTGGTGTGAATCAGTCTCATGGTAACCTAAATCTTGCCAGTGTTAGAAGCCAACTAGCACTACAGGAATGTATACAGTAGGAAAGCTCCCCCCCCCCATAACTTTACTGTAGCCAGGGCAAGTTGGAGTTCTAGCACCTGTTGGTGGTCAAGCTAAACAAGTCCATGTCAGGAAGGTAATGAAATTTTCTTTGTGTAGCAGACAAGACTGAGCCTCATCAAGCCCGAATGCTTTACAGGAATTAACATGTTTGAGAGCTCTAGTGAACACACAGCTTTGATCCTAACCAAGACATTACTCTTCTAGCACTAGTCTTTAATTTTTAATATAAGGTAAAGTTGTTTGCCTTTGACAGTGCAGCATATTTTGAAACTAATTATATTCAGGGTTAGACATTTCATCTATAACTGGAATCATTTTATACATTGTAGGGATAAGGTTGACCACATACAGATACTACAAGTTAGAACTATGGCCCTACATCTCTCCCCCTGGAGAGCTAACAATTAACTTCCACAGCCAACGCTGACTCTGAGGGCATGCCATCTCTAGCCCTCTTCGCAATCAAACCAGATGATGTTAGCACAGGTGTGGTAAGCCTGAGAAGGAGCCAGAATTTACTAATGTACATTGCCAAGATCCACAGTAATACAGCAGCTGCCTCCCACCCACGGGCAGCTCTGCAGTTCAGCTGTTTCATGGTGCACAGGAGGCTGGGGGGGGCGGGGTGCTGCTAGAGGTTGAGCACCCCCCAGCACATTGGAAAGTTGGCACCTGTAACTCCAGCCCTGGAGTTGGTGCCTATACAAAGAGCTGCATGTGGCTCTAGAGCCACAGGTCGGTCACCCCCATGTTAGCTGTCTTGAGTCAGTGGGGGTAATCTTTACTAACCAGGCCCCAACCTGCTGAACTGGAAGCCACTGCTAACTCAAACCACACATTTATATTAGATACTAACTCAGTAATTCTATTTTATACCATCCTTTTACCTGGGGTGAAATTAGGGTTCCCTCGTAGCCTCTGATTTCTTTGTTCAAAGAACCTGAATATGGTATAAAAAAGCATGTTGTCATCTGCCTGCTTCGCTGCATCAAGGAACTTGCGGGCAGAAACACCGTCATGTCCTCCAACACCCCTGATGAATCGCAAGGCAGCCAGCACCTGGTGCTTGGACAGTAGAACCTCTACTATTTCATCATTTGCTGTAGAAAGTCTCTGCAAAGCCAAGTAACAAGACAAAATTAAAGCCATAAAGTGATTATATGAATACTGTAATACAGCCTTATTTACAGTCACCTCTCGTATATACTAACTGTATGATCAGGTACAATACCGTAGGGTTTTAGTTGCGGGGGAGAGATTTGGCCTGCTAAACCCAGGGTTGAGAGTTCAATCCTTGAGGGGGCCATTTAGGGATGTGGGGCAAAAATTGGAGATTGGTCCTGCTTTGAGCAGGGGGCTGGACTAGCTGACCACCTGAGGTCCCTTCCAACCCTGATATTCTAGGACTTCTGCAATCCCCCATTCATGTGACATGTTTGAAGCATATTTTATTTACACAGTAATTCTTACCTTTAACATGTCCAGAGACAACTGATGTGCAGGGGGATAAATGCTCTCAAGAGACAACAGCAGACAGGCCTGAAACAGTAGCAAAGAGTACTGCTGAAGTATTACCCTTAATTAATCCTAAAACGGGTGTCATGGAATCCATAGTGACATACATACCAATGGCTTTGAGTCACTTAGCACATGGTACTGCAGGAACTGATGAAGCATGTAGAACAGGTTGTGCTGAACAAGCGTTTTAATGACCAGTTCATATAGATAATGCTGAGGATGCAAGAGATAGGGAAAGAAACTCTAAAGCAGTTTGACTCAATATCAAGTCTTCAGTTGTTTGTTGGGTTTCAAGATCTTCTAGAAGGTGGAACTGAATAAGATTTTAGTTAGAACCATACAGAAGACTTCCAGTTTGAGTACTAGCTTTTCCCTGTTCCCAGTTAAATGTAAGCAGTGTGGCTCAAAAAATGGAAGAAACTTCATTCTCTTGCTCAAATAATTAGACTGAGGCTGCCAGCTTGGTCGCCAATAGAGATCCTTGATCTGTGCACACTGAAACTGTACTGAAAGCAGCCTTAGAAGCACAGTGATGTATTAAGTTTCAGGTAGCCATTTAGAGACTGGACCCCTTCACCTTAAGGCCAAGCTGCTGCCAAGGCTTGCCGATTCTTCCTCTGCTGCTTTTTGAAAATCTGGACTGTATTTTGAACTGATCTCTAGAACCCAGAGACACTGCTCATCTCCCACCTCTACTACTGTAACAACCTCCTCAAGGCCCATACTACTCTCCTCCCATTCTACAGGAAACAGGATTTAAAAGTATGAGCAGGAACTGCCCCTTATTGCTTTTTGCAGAACTTTACCTGAACTGCAATCTGGAACTGGTTAAGAGAGCGAATGTATTCCATCAAGACTGCTATAGTGAACTTGTGAGGTGCTTCCTATGCAGCAAGAGGAAAAATTATGGTAGTTAAAATTCTGAAGTGGCGACTTGCATACGAGTTAATGGCTTAGATTAGCAACAGATTCTCCTGTCAGGTACTGGCAGAAGTTACTGTTATCTAACCCAACACTCACTCCACATAATTATGATATTCAACTAGACTGTTACCAAAGACAGCTTGTGTCCTTCAGAAGAATTGTAGTGAGTATCACCAGTCTTTCCGTAGTCCCATGTACCCAACCTTCCTCTTAGGAAAATTTTCCTGTCTAGCACTATCAGTTCTTTGCACTTGATTCATTCACATGTACAAGTTAAGTTTCTTTACTAACCTTCTTTTCAGTAAACACTGACAGAACATGTGTGTACATGTCAGACTGGTCAATAACTGCTTGAGTACGGACTGGTCGTTTCAGAAGGGGATTGCCTCGGCTCTGGCCTGTTTCTACCACCTACAACAAGGCAGAGGGAAGATGAATAGTCTTATTAACAAAGCTATTTTGTACTGAGTAGGCTTTATGTACACAGGGCTAAGTAATCAGTATGCGTTACCTTTAGAGCAAAATCAGTGGTCTGATCTAAGGCTAACATGCTGTTTAACTTTGACAAACATTCTTGATTCAACTCTTATTGTACTATGAAAAATCTTCAGCTTTATTCAGTAAGTCAAGTTTTCGTAGGGCTTAGTTCTGTACAAGCTAGCTCATAATATATATTAAATACAATGTAGAATGGTGCTTTATTGCAGTGTAGGTTATTCCCATTGGTATCTGGTTACTCAATAGTTCCACCAGAAATACTCAAGTTGGGTGCAACCTAAAAAACTGATATGGTTGAAATATTTAGAACATAAGTCAGAAAATTCAAATTCATGGTTCTGCAACAGTATATATAAAAGTAGAAGAGCTATTATGCTGTAAAGTTGAAGTTCTGTACACATGCAAAGGGGAAGGTGCACTTGCTATGGCTAACTGACTTCAGTTTTCATCTCTGTGATGAAAACCATAAGGGTTAGTATTTTTTGAAATGCGTTGTCTAAATAGCCACTGATGCAGATTACTTACCATTGTATAACTCTGCTCTGCTTCCAAGTACTTTTTATACTCATGATTGAGTTTATCAAAAACAGTGGCAATCACAGCCAACGTTCCCCTGTCTGGTTCACTTAACACTGAAAGACAATAGCCATAAAAAACAAGATACTGATAAAACAGTCTGTCCCTCTTGCTAGTGGAGTATATACTCCAGTAATGTTTTTACCACAGACTCTTTAAAGGTAACTGTTACAGTCAGGAAATGCTCTTAAGCACAGCAGAGTAGGTCAACTGACCCATGAACATCCTAAATTCCAATTTCCCTTTGCACTAAGGGTATGTCTACACTATGGGTGGTACCGCTGCAGCAATGCTGCTGAGGCACCCGTAACATAGACACTTCCCACATCAACAAGACGTTTTTCTGTATATGTAGGTAATCCACCGCTCAGGTGTGTCAACATGGCTAGTTATAAATTTTAAGTGTAGACTATAGTAAGCACTATGATTAATTGGAATGCAAATGCCTTTTGCCAGGAAATGAAGATTCATTTGGTGAAATCAAGAATTGGGTTCAAAGAAGGAACCAGACTCATCTTATATTTTCAAGCATGTGCACACAATAGCCATCAGAAAATGATTTTGAGAGAGAGATTCAAAAGCAACATGGCTTAGATATTGTTGGCAGCATAGGCAACATCACTGATGAGAAACTATGTTGAGAATGTGGTTCAGTCACTGGTACACAAAATGCTTCCCTAATTTAGTCCCTGGTAGTTCACAAAATAAGATACTGAGCTCAAGGCAATGGAGAACTAGCCTTGAATGAGGACAGTACAGGAAGACACCTCTGCAATGCTTCCACGAAAGAGATGGAGAGACACAACCAGTAAGAGCAAGACTTACTCTGAGAACACACAGATAGGATAACCATTTTGCATTCCTTTCTCTGGAGAAGAAAATCCATTAGCTTTCCTTTATCTGGCAAGAGGTTAACCACAGGCTCAAGTTTCACCTCGAGATTCCAGAGATAACCTAGGTTTAAGAGAGCCAACCATCAAGCCTTATTAAAAATATTAACTAAAAACTAATCACACAACTAGTGAGGACCACTTCAGTTTTGACTTAACACGTGAAAACTCGTACATGACAGTCTTCCATAGCCATACAAGTTATTTTACACTTAAGCCTTGTCTACACTACAAAGTTTTGTCAGCAACAGTTATGCCGCTTTAATTAAAGCACTTCAATTAAAATAGCTGTTGCATGTCCACACTAGTTCCTTGTGTCAACAGAGTGCGTTCACACTAGCAGCTCTTGCATTGACACAGAGAGCAGTGCACTCTGGTAGCTATCCCACTGTGCAACTGGTCACAAGGTGCTTTGGGAAGGGCTTGCAATGCTTCAAGGGGGAAGGTACAGCATCACATGATGTAGGTTTCTCAATCCTACCATTCCATGGGAATACTAGTAGATTGTCAGCCGCTTTTCAATTGAAAAGGGGGGGGTGAGAAGGAGAGTGGTGTGTCTGGGGTGCTGGAGACAGCAGGCTGACTGACCTATCCTGAGGGAGGGGGACACCCCCCCACCCACATCAGCCCCCAGCTCTGCTCAGCACAGCAGTCTCTCCCAAAGCAGCCCACTCTGCCTATGGTTCTGTGATTCCCTCCAAGTTCTCCCACAACATCCTCAGGAGCAGCATCCTGAGCAGCCCTGTGAGCTCTCTCTGCTGAGGTATGTCAAAGCAGCAGTCCTGTCCCCTTCCCCTCCTCCCCGCTCTCTGCAGCAGCAGTCTGCCTGCAGCTGTGTTCCTAGTGCAGGGCAGAACATTCCTCCTTAACAGTTAGTTCCCAGAGCAGCATGCTCAGCTGTTAGATACTTCCCAGAGCTTTGAAAGGAGAGGGGTGCATGCCTGTAGGGAGATCAAAACAGTGAGCAGAGCCATCACAGCAGACATTGTGGGATACTAGTGGAAGCCAGTTATGTCAACAAAACAAACAGCAGAGTCTACACTGACTGTCACTTTAACTATGCAGCAAAAAGCTATGCTTCTCCTTGAGGTGCTATGGTTTTGCTGCCAAAAATAGCTTTGTTGTGTGAACACCTCCTGTTTTGTCAGCAAAAAGCAGCTTTTGCCAACAAAACTATGTAGTGTAGACAAGGCCTTAGTTTCTCCCATTCTGCCTCTTTTGTTAAGACATATCCAAAATAGTTTAATTACTTAAGTGACAAACATGTAATCACCTTCAGTTATGCTTCATTAACCCTGATGTCCATTAGTGAGATTCACATTGATGTAAATGGAAGTTAGACTATTACGCTAATGGGACTGGAATTAGAAGGATAGGATAGAGGTGCTGTACTTCAATCTAAAAATTAATGGGAAACTTATCACATCCAATTTACCTTCACTTGCGCTGATTATAATATCAGGCTGAAAGACAATCCAGGAGGAGGAATCTAAACGTTAAAGAAAATTCTTAAGAAATAAAACACCAGCCCTACTTTTGATACTAGCATATCTGTTTATAAAACCACTCATATTAGCATTGGCTTAAATAAATAAGCCCCCAGAAGTTGCTGATTAGGACCGAATTCAAGCAGCCTCATTCAGATCTCCAACATTGTCCCCTTTGTTGTTTATCATCCCTTATGAACCAGTCACAAGATGATTTCCTCATTTCCTTATGACGTTTCAGCTGAATATATTAAAGGAATTTCATTCCTAGACTTCTTAACATTAAAGTATATTTTGATTCTGTATTGCAGCTATAGCACACTTTTGCTTTCAAAAGCTTTATACCACCATTTAATTCTCAGAGAAGCCTTATCTGAAATGAGAGACTACGAACCCCACAATGCTATCTTAGTCAAGTTATAGTGGGACTACATTCAAATATTTTGTTGTAATATTCCAGTACTCCATTCTTTCACCAAAAATCCTACTAACAGGCTTGTCTAACAGGCAAGGAAGAACAAATATTTGATTCCCCCTTTTCACTTTATTTCTAATAGCAGAAATCCTAAATTTGCAGGTGCATAGAGAAACAATTGCATCTGGACAAAGTTCCAGAATAAAATTGAACCAAAGGATACAGAGTTTACATGGAACAGGAGACTGATTAGTCACGGAGGCTGGACCTGCACATGGGGGGAAAAGTTAACATCTGAAACAAAGAAAAACAAGTCCCAGGACAGACGGATTTCTCCAGCTGCCATGAGTAGGTAAGATTTATTAGCTGATTAGCGTGCACATTCTTGTTTATGCAAGAAATTAACTATCATCTGTTTTCCCTTTCAAGATGTAGTAGCTCGGTTTTTAGTAAAATGTGTCACGAATCACACTTGGTTTTGTCACCTTGTGTTGTGTTGAAATCATAACTTGCCACTTTATGGTTAAAAGACTTTTTGCAACACTAACACCTAAGCAGCTTGTTGCTTTGATGTAGCTGTATGAACAAGAAGCTACGTATCACTGTTAACTGACTGCAGAACTTGTTGCCTCTTGAGAGACTCTGTGTTCCTTCTGCCTCCTCACTTATTTCTCAAATTTAAAGCTATTCATTAGTTTGGGTGTTATGATTTCAACACAACACACAAGTATTCCACAACTCAGTTAAAAAGAAAAAACATGCCATAACCCATCCTAATACAATAAAAATAATGCTGCTCAGTTTGCTCGATATTGCATGCAAGCACATTGTTGTATTTCTTAGTTCCTCAAAAAACTGGAAAGCGGTTTTTGCATACTGAAATTAAGCAATCCTGTTTGTTACATAATATTAATTTGTGAAGTAGTTACATATATACCCACGACACACATACACCAGTTGCCAAGTCACATCTTCCAGAATCACTATTTCCATTGTGACTTCAGAGAAAAGAACAGGTCAGAATTAAATTCTTTAAAGTGGAAGATCCCATCTCAGGCAAAATATATACAAGATCCTCTAGTCCAGTCTAACATAGCCACTGTGTGCTACACTGCTTGTAGAATCGTAACTGTGGGGCTACTGTATCTGACCCGGGGGTGAGCATCCCAGTGCAGGAGAGATCCTCAGGTGGTGCAGAGTTTGTGTAAGTAGATGTTTCTATTCCACCCATGGCTAGTGTAAGGGGCCTGGATACTGTTATGCTGTGCTGATCCTCTGCCATGGTTTCAGCACCTTGGGGCTGTTAGCAACTACAGTATATTACAGAAACCCTCAGGTTGCTCTAATGTATGCCATGGGACCGACCCTGTTACACACAGCAGCTCCAGAACTGGGGGAGCGCAAAGGTGTGCTTTACACCACCATAGCTGTATAGTAAGAGACACACTGTTAAAGTAACAAGTCAGCACTTTAATTGTACACAAGTGAACAGTTCACTGACACTGAACACAGCTCCCACACACCACTTAAATTTTACCTCAAGGTATGATGGTAGGTGAATAAGTATCTGTCTTAAGGAGTAATTGTTACTTTTGTGCATTTTATCACAGTTTAAGCACAAGAGGAGAAGGAGGGTGATCCAGTGAATAGGACATTCAGCTAGGGCTCAGAAGACTGGGTTCAAGTCCTTGCATTTCCATAGATGTTTGAGTGACTCTGGACAAATCACTTACCCTCTGTGCCTTGTACCCCACCCCACCCCCTAAGATGGGGAATAATAGCACTTCCCTACCTCACAGGTGTTGTGAGGAAAAATACATTGAAGACTGTGAGGCACTTAGATACTATGCTAATGGAGCTTGTATATGTACCTAGGATTGAAAAACATGTTCACTGTGTTTAATTGCCATGTAATCCTTTTACCTGCCACAGGGATCTGATAGGGCTGTATTGATCGAGCTGGAAGAACAAGCTGATGAAGGGTAACGGTCCCATCAAATTCTCCCTTTAGTTTGATATCAAATATTACAGATGTCTAAAATTGAAAAGAAAGTGCCCCTCATTTTTCATGCCCATGAGAAGACATTCAGCAATTATAAGAGCACATCTCAAGTCATTCATGTTCAAATGGTTTTGCATTTATTTCATCCTCTGCTCTTGTAATAATTAAATCATGTTACTTACTTCACTTGGTTTATAGGTTTTCCAAAAATTACCAGAAGTATATTTTCCTCAAATTACAGACTCAATTAAAAACCCTGCTCTGCAACATCTACTAACGGGGCATATTATCCAAACTCTTTTTAAGCTGCCTGGAAGGAGTTCATTTAGGAGACAAAAGCTTTTTGTGTAAGTAAAGATCTAGCCACCATCTACGCAGTCCTTCATCACAGACAGATTAACTATTGAGGCTCCAATCTTGCAAGAGCTCTGTTTTCAATGGTACTACTATGTGCATAAGATTACACATCTGCCTAGGAGTTTTTGCAAGACTGGGGCCCTATATTATTAAAAGTTAGCCTGAATGCAACATTAAGGTTGGGAAGTCAGACACTCAAGTGCCAGGAAGTTCCCAATGTTAAGAATTTAATGCTCAACCTTAACTCAGGCCCCTTTTGCAGATGCCTTAGAACAGTGGTTTTCAAACTTTTTTTCTGGGGACCCAGCTGAAGAAAATTGTTGATGCTCACAACCCAACGGAGCTGGGGATGAGGGGTTTAGGGTCTGGGAGGGGGCTCTGGGATGCGGCAGGGGGTTGGAGTGCGGGAGGGGTCAGGGCTCTGGGCTGAGGGTGCAGGCTCTGAGGTGGGGGTGGGGATGAGGGGTTTGGGGTGCAGGAAGGGATTCTGGGTCGGGGGGGGCTCAGGGCTGGGGCAGGGGATTGGGGCGTGGGCTTATCTCCAGCGGCTCCCAGTCAGGGGCACAGCCAGGGTGCAGAGGCAGGCTTCCTGCCTGTCTTTGCCCCGTGGACTGTGCTGCACCCCGGAAGCAGCCAGCAGCAAGTCTGGCTCCTAGGCAGAGGCATGCAAGCAGCTCCACGCAGCTCTTACCCGCAAGCACCGGCCAATGGGAGTGCGGAGCCAGTGCTCGGGCAGCGCACGGAGCCTCGTGGCCCCCCTGCCTAGGAGCCGGACTCGCTGCTGGCTGCTTCCGGGGCACAGCACAGTGTCGGAACAGGTAGGCACCCGCCTGCCTTAGCTGGGCAGCACCTCCGACAGGACTAAACATCCTCGTTGGCGGTGCTGACCAGAGCCGCTAGGGTCCCTGGGTGCTGAGCAAGGCGACCCACGACTGGGTCATGACCTGAACTTTGAAAAACACTGCCTTAAAAGACTAATTCTCTCTACTTCAGTCAAATACGATAAAGTAATTAAAAAAACCTACATTAGTATCAATGTCTTTTGGTTTATTTTAGGATTACAGCTAATGCTCAAAAAATTCAGGGAGTAGTTAAGGCTCCAATGGGAACATTAGTTCAGCATATTGCACATCCTGTATATTTTATAGCATATATTTATGCTAAACAGTAATGAAGTGTGTTTCAATGAGACATTTACAACTTCTCATGCAAATTGCTCCAGCAACTGTCAGAGCAGCAGTCTTGTCAAGCTTCCAGATCTTGTCAGTGAGAATGTACAGTGATGATGAAAGCAGGGACAGGATTTTATTAGGCTCTGAGGCAAGTATATCACTTTGCCTCTCATCACATGTAATCTCCAATTGTTTTTCCTCCCAAAACCAAGCAGGGTGTCTAATGAGAACTGTGGGAGAGATTTTCAAGGCACAAAAGGGCAGCTTGGCACCAACTCCTATTCAATGGGAGTTGGCCATCTCATTGTCCTTTGATGATCTTCTCCTGTACATCCATGGTGAGTTTCAAACTTCAGCATTTTTGCTACAGCTTTATTGAAAAGGTGTATTTTATTAGAACACAACACACACAATAGGGAAGTAGTTTTGCCATTCTCCTAAAACTCAAAAACATACAGAAAGATTTTGCTCAATCCTTTCTCAAAAATAAGCTTAACTTTTGAAGCAAGAGATAGGAAGACAGTCTCCAAAAAGGTGAATGTTTTGGAGAATCAAGACCATGAAAATTACAGGGTTCTAGAATGGTAACTGTTTTGCAATCTGAATAGTAGTAGGCACTACTCTACATCCACTACACTACAAAATAAAATTTGTTATACTGGCTTAGTTGCATCCTATAAACACATGCCCCTGGCCCAAAACAGAGAGATGGAAAAGTTCTTTTGTACACATGACTTTAAAACAAACAAACAAACAAACAAAAACTTTAAAAATCATGTGAACTATTATTTTCTCCCCATATGTGGGTTTTTAAGATTTGTTTGAGACTTAAAAATCAAGATCAGTTTCTAGCTGCAACCATTTGAGTTACTAGAATGCAAAGTTTCTAATCATAAGAGGAACATGGGGCTTTCAATGGCTGAACCAGCTTTGCTCCAGCTGTAAACATATAAACCTTTAGGCTGAGAGAAGCAGACAGGTTTATGCCCCCCAACTTTTTCTTTTTTTGGGGAAGGATGGGGGGAGGAAAGAGAGAGAGAGAGAGAAAGAAGAAACTGAAAAGAAGATGGATCTGAATTATGATTTTCATTCCAATGCATTGCAATTAGGAATGGGATTTTCCCCCCTGTAAATTACGAATTTTTTCCCCTGTAAATTACAAATTTCGGCCCTGATCCTGAAAACACTTACACACATCCTTAGCTTTACTTGGAAAGACTAAGTACATGAAAAAGTATTTGAAGGAACAGGCCCATTGCCTTCAGAAAATCTAGCACAAACTTTAAAGACAAGACATAAATAATCTGTAGGCAGATCATACCTCAGTGTCCTGATGATGAACTACCACCAAGTTATCTACAACATTCAATGCAAACTTTCCTGTCCTGTTCAACTTTAATATATGCATCTTCTTACAGGAGCTTTCCCTATGAAAACATTAACATCAGAGATAAAAGGCATTGATCAGCAAGGTCATTTATATCTAAAAATAAAAACCAAAACACAATTTACCTTGGTAAATGATAAAGGACTACTTCTGCTCCGGTACTATTGGAAGTCCTTGAATGATGCCTCAGATAGAGAACATAAAGCTGCCCATATCTAACAAAACAACATGATTAAAATGTTATTCTTCAAATAAATGAATATACTAGCAGAAAAATTGCACCTAGGAGACCCTTTCTACAATGAAGACAGCAAGTTATCCTATTACTGCAGTGTCTGACCAGTCTGTCATGGTCACATTGCTTCTCCCTCAAAAAACAACTCACATGAAGTCATACATAAGTCAAGTAGCTTACAGAATCTAAATTAAGTGACATATCTATCATTCAGGCCAGCTCGGTTCATACAAGATTGGTCTCTCTTGTACATTTACCAGCCTACTGTAATGTTTAATTTTATCTCTCTCAAATGATAGAGACTCATCCACTTCCTAATCAGTTCTATATTTTTATAAGAGTTCTTTAGGCTCCTTTACTTTCAGTCCAGTACCAAGCATTTTAACAATACTCTATAATAAGATAAAAAGCCAAATCAATGAGTGAAGTCATTTTACCATGACTGGACTGTACCCTCCTCTCTCTGGATCTCCACTACAAAAGTTGTCAATACCCTTTAAATGAAGGAAAAGACTGATTATTCAGTGATACGTACATTGTAGCCATAGCAATATCTCTTTCAGAAAGGCTGAGTTTGGAGGACTTGGGTACTGCAGGCAATTCAATTTCAAACTTTGATAATTTTGACATTGTTCCTCCCTGTTTAAAAAAAAAAAGTTTCAGTCTGTCAGGTCTAATCTAGAAAAAGTTTCTTCTTTCCTTTCTATGAAGGCCTGTGATAATATGAATGGCACTCACTAGTTGTGAGAAGTGGTGATACTGTTCCAAAAAGAAGAGAAGATTTTAGAGCAATCAACTCATTTATTTACTACTATTTGTAATGTGGCCCCATCCCTGTTTTGGTAGGCACTATATGAACAGCAGAGTTATTACTTTAACATTCTACTGCACCAGTTTCAGTGAATGAGGTCTTACGCTTCCATTTCAGTTTAATTAAACTAATATAAGAATCTATAGTCAAACCCATTTATAGTTGAATCTGGAATTCTAGACCAGAATGGCCTGATTTTCAGAGGAGCTGACCACCCACATCTCTCTAATGAGAACAGTAGGCACTCAGCCTCTTTGGGATGGGGGTAGAAGCCTTACATAGATCATGGAAGCTTTTCTTTTTACAACTGACCTCTCCTGAAAGTTTTATTTCAAATTTTGTATCTTCAAAGGTCTCTTGAGGAAGTTATCACAATATTAACATTTTAATTGAGAAGTTGAAAAAATTCACTGGGTACCTACTGGCCAGCAAGGTCCTTGGCAAAACTCTGATCAGAAGCCTATGTCTTCACCCCATCATCTGCCAGGAAGATGCCAAGACTCCTGGCACACTGCTGTCCCAGGATCCTGCTTGGGGGCTCCTTTCACGTAAACTGGAGCAGTAGGCATGACACATGGGAAACCTCCATTTTACCTCCTCCCTCTGACTGCTGGAAGAAAGGGGTGTGCTCTCTTCACCCCACTCAAAGACTTCTGCTTCTTTGGAGATGGGGAGGGAGGAAAGAAAGGAGTGCAGTTCTACCCCCCATAGAATCCCTCTCTCCCATGAATATTTTCCGTGTTCAGCTGCTGAGCTCATAGTCATAGCTTTCCTCAAACCACAGCAGCATGAAAGTTTCTTGTCAGACTGAAATGCTGCCCAAAGGATTTGAAACAGCAGCTGCAGAAATAACTCAAATCTTTTCAATGTCATGATGCTTGGGAACAACTAGCAGTTGTCTCCACAGGCTCAAGAAGAGAACAGTGTATTCATTCACGTTTAGAAGGTTACAGTTACAAGCAAGAGTACTAGAAACTTAGTTTTTCCTTTAAATGAAAGATCACATTCTGCAGAAATTGAAGGCTTAGGGTACTGTAGTTGCTACTGGGGTTGGATTTTCAAGTTGTGTTTAAATGTATTTAATTGAAAGGGTAATTTCTGGAAAGATATAATCCTTTTGCAAAGTCACTGGGCCACCAAAATGTATGTATCATTGACTTTGCTTTTGCTGCATTACTCCTCTAATGTCAGCTATCCAGCATCATATTGACTCACTTCCCTGTGGAGGCACATCTATCGAGTGTTAGAGTGTCTCCCAAGTATTTACAAATAGAAATCTCTTCCTTCTCTACTCACAGAGAGAAAGATTGGCGCGTAGGTTTTCATTTTGTCTGCTTTTTTATTTTTATTTGTATGAGGGACTGGAACCATTACACATCTAGGAGGAAACTAAAAATAGAAAAGACCAACATGGGGGAGTGGGGGATGAGAGGTGGGGAGGAGACAGTCCCCTGAAAAACGTATCAAACAAAACTCAAGATTGGGAATGTGTCCCTTACCTTGAAATAGAATGGCTGGAGGACATTGCCAAGGACTGTAGTCGATAGCAGAATGACGGAACTCTCCGGGCAATACATGTACCAGTTTACATTGATATTCTGATTTTTCACCAGTTTCAAAGTTCGCTTCTCTGGTAATACCTGAAGACACAAAGTAATAGCACCTTTACTATTCCAGTAGCGGCTAGTGGCCCCACTGTGCTAGGTGCCCCACCAAGATGGATAAATATTGACGATTTTTTAAATAAAAATAGATTTAAATACATTTTTCTTTTTGAAAATATATCATGTTCAATTTTAAATTATGATGCCCTATGTTAAAGCCTAAACTTATTATCTATTAAGAAATCTATTTAAATAAATATGCAGCATCAATGAACCCTCCACAAATTTAAGGTGTTAAAGAGTGATATTTATTCAGTTATATACAGGATCGGGGGGGGGGGGGAGTATCTTAACCTTTTCAGGTCAACTCAACATTTACAAATCTGACAATGTCACGTACTGCATTAAGTTAAGTGTTGAATCATATTAAAGAAGTTCTGTATTAAAATCACAAATGAGTTTGATTCCCCATAGTTTAAATTCCAGGGTATTACTAATTAAGAGGTCTCTTGGTTTTTGGTACTGTTTCTCTCCCTCTATGTGTGAAACTTGCAAGCTGCTAATTGTGTTAGTACATTCTAAGACAGAGTCTGTTCTCAAAGCAATTCACACAGAGAGAGACTCAAAGCAATTCTCTGTAACAACAGAAACAGCACCCAGAGACTCCCCGCCCTTTTGTTGTATTAACAATTGTGATTAAAATAGAGATAGAGGATGTATGTGGATGGATGCTTGGTGTGGATAATAACTGAATGATCGGGGAGGTGCCAGCCTAAGAATCCAGTGTCCATCGGCTGAAGAAGGCGTCAAGTGGAAATAACCAAAGGACCCCCGGAGGGCAGACTGGAATCCACCCAACAGCCTCAAGAATGGGAGAACCAAAGAACAAGATAACATCTAGCAGCACGGAGCCATCAGGAATGTGCTATCTGCTGATTGATTCAGCAACAGCATGATGAAGCAATTCCCATAGACTGGCATAGGAAGAAACTCCTATAAAAATGGACTCTAGAAAGTGAGAACTTTGGGGTCTGATTCTGCAAACCAACTTCCAGGAGCATCAGATGAGCATCTGACAAGGCCCTGCTCCCTCCTCATGTCCAGGCCACCTGGCCAGTGGCTTGGCATGAGCAACTCAAAGGCTGGTAACTATGATAACTACCTTGCAGAACCTGTGTGTGTGTATGAATGTGTGAATAAATATGAAACTGAATGGAATGTTATAGCTATAACTAACTGCTTACTATGATTCTTTCTGTATTCAGAATAAATGTGGTATTTTGCCTTTTTCCCTTTAATAAGATCCTGCTGGTTTTTATTTTATTGGTATAACATAAGTATCTATATTATTTTCAGTCTTTAAAATGCAGCAAATGCTGATGTTTACATTTTTCCTAACGCAAATACTTTCAGTTTCTGTTGTTCAAAAAGCTTTTGTCTTAAATTCTTTTGGTTTCAGTTTAGATTGCAGGTGCAGTCTATTTTCTTCATTTGGACTAGTTCAAAGTTGAGAAACTGACTGGGAGTTAAAAAAAGCAGAAAAGCTTGTCCATATCTAAGCTATGGATAAAAAAAGAACAGTTGGGAGAGGATGAGATATACCTGTTCTAAACACTTTTAAGGACCTGGGTGGGGCCAGATGTTCAAACACCTTTAGGAGCCTAGTGGAATTTTCAAAAGTGCCTATGCAGATTAGGTGCCTATCTCCCATGGTGCTTAGGAAAAACCCATTAAGCATATATCTGTATCTTTAGGTTCCTAAAGACCTTTGAAAATCTGCCCCATGATGACTAGAAACAAATCTGTCAATTCACTAACTACAGTTAATACTTCATTTGTTTAATAAATCAGTTTTAAATGCAAAACACGTTTTGATAAGAAAAATAAGCTTATGTATTAGCACATTTAAGGTAGTTTATTTAATAAAAGAAAATTTTACAATACTGCTTTTGTGCATTTTTAATGTAATTCCAATTTCCATCCAAATGCAGCTTGACACAAATGAGTAAAAAAATAGCGTGTCATTTGCCATTTTTTAACATAAAAGATGTAAAAAGTATGAATCAGAATAAAATATATGTTAAGCTATATAATTGTTTAAATAAATGCCTATAGATATAGTATATCCTCCTGGTTGCCAAATAGTACCAGCCAATTTAGTGGAAAGACTATCGTTAGTAGCAAATCGATACTTTTAACGGTTATACCAAATCAATGAGAATGAACCTCTCTTTAGGAAAATAAGAAGTATAAATACAAAACAAGATTAAAATCAATTATTAAAATCAAGATTCCCTGCTTGCTGATTTAAATAATTAATATAACTAATTATAATCAATCCACCTCGTGCGGTACATACAGAAGACAGTCCCTACTCCAAATCCCACAGCTTGCTTCATATGGATAGACTCCTGGTACATGTCAAGTCAAGTGAGAAACAGATTTAGCTCTGCAGTCCATTGTGCACAAGTTTATTCTATGGGTTTTTGATTTTTTTTTTTTTAAATTCAGCCACTGCCTTATCGCCTGCTCAACATGATCAACACACTCCAATAGTATTTTCAGAAAACATTCACCTAATCACCAGAAAGAGGAATGTTTATCCAGTAGATCACTCCAACAGCACACAAGTTAAATACAAAAGTCTGAGGAGAACTCAGCAGTTAAGGAATTAGGACAAGATGGGAGGGAGATGGGTTTAAGATGGTATATTGGACATGTCAGGGATGGGCAGGTGTGACATGGTCTTAGCTAATGGGCATTAACTCTGTTAAGCTTAGCACTGAATTCGTGCACTCTTAAATATATTGCTGCTTTACTTTGCATGAAGTAAAAAAATATTTCAAATTTGTTAACATTTATATTAATTTTACTACAATTAAAGAGATTTACTAAGCCAGAGTTGCTAAATAGATTAATTAAATCCTTCTCACTCGAGTATATTTTCTAATAATAGCATAAATAGCTTGTTGTGATAGTAAAACTACAACATATTCAATGTCCAAAAAAAATTGCATTTAACTCTCTAAAAGCAAAAACATCAAAAAATTCTCCAGGATAAAACATTCACTTTTTCCTTATCTCAGTTTCCTTGTATAATCATACTAAACAGTTCAGGGCTAGAGGTAAGAAGTTCAGAGCCAGGGACTGCAAGATAATTAAAACATTTAACCTCTAAGCAACAATAAAATTTAATGCTGAAATTTCCAAATATGCACATTTTTACCAGACAATTATTTGGATTACCTGATAGAATTCAATTCCTTGATCTGTTATGAAGACAATTTCTGTAGAACTTGTCCAGCAAAAGCCTAAAATGTTGGCATTCTTGGTCTTTTATTAAAAGAAGATATAAACAGATTATTAACTATCTGTGTAAACAAGTAAAATTTTAGCTTAGAATCTGGGAACTTGCATCTACCCTAGTATATTTCAGTTTTGGTTTGCCTGGTAGACCCATTATTGGTCTAACTCAGGGGTCTCAAACTCAAATGACCACGAGGGCCACATGAGGACTAGTACGTTGGTCCAAGGGCCGCATCACTGACGACCCCCCCCCCACCCGCTGCCCCCAGCCCTGACCCCACTCCGCCCTTCCATGAGGCTCCTTCCCTGCCCCACCTCTTTTCACTCCTTCCCTGCCCCCATTCCAACCCCTTCCCCGAAATCCCCACCCCAACTCCGCCCCCTCCCTGCCCCCAGGGGGTGCAGGAGGGGTGTGGGGTATGGCAGGAGCTCAGGGCAGGGAGTTGAGGTGCAGGAGGTGTGCAGGGTGCTGCAGGGGGCTCAGGGCAGGGAGTTGGGGTGTGGGGTCCAGGAGGGGTGAGGGGTGTGGCAGGGGGCTCAGGACAGGGGGTTGGAGTGCAGGAGGGGTGCGGGGTGCAGCAGGGGGCTCGGCTGCAGGAGGGGTTCTGGAAGCAAGGGCAATACACAGACCCCTGTGCCCCCCTCCCCCAGGTTCTGGCCGCTTCCCAGAGCGGCATGGGGGCAGGGCAGGGAGGGAGGCAGCCCTACCCCCAGTGTGCGCCGGGCCGGAGCCGCTCTAGGTAAGCGCTGCGGGGGAGGGGCCGCGTGTTTGAGACCCCTGGTCTAACTGCAGGAACTACTGCCATGCAGGATACCAAATCATAATAGTACGTCTTTATTTTATGACCCTCAGTCTGGCACCTTTCACAAGTACTACCTGAAATATTTCTTCAGCCTTTGGTATTTGCACTCATCCTCTTGCACAGTCACAGAGTAATACATGGATTATTATTATAATAATTATCTACAGAGATGTCATGCTAAACCATTCTTTCACTGTTATTATTGGAAAGCTATTGTGAAGAGACAGTCTTACATTTATAAAGGTATTAAAATCCTCTTTTTGGTAAAAATCCATAAAAGATACAGCAATGGTAGAAAAAAAGCATATGTATACTGTCCTCTTATCCTCACAACCCTAACTGGGGGACAAACTGTTGGCGAGCATGCAATTCAGCTTCCATGTCCATTAGAGTCAAACATAGTGGTGGTCTGGGTAATATGGATAATAGTGCCCAAAGGACCGGATTGAGAGAGACACCCACCCAAACTCCCCCTTCATTTCACATTAGTTATTTGACCACCGTGCTAAAGTGGTCTGGATTAATTAGTGACTTAGCATTACCAGTACCCTAGCAATTTCCTGTTTCCAGTTCCCTGAGCTTGGCTCCAGAAAGGGCTGGAAATACTGTGGAAGCAGCACATGTCACCACTCAGGGGGACAACCAGTGCAAGTTCTAAAACAACTTGTGAGAGCTAAGCATATTCAACCATAATAATTTTAAAATGTTACCAGTTTGAGTCATTTTCACAGCCATTAACTATGCTAACAAAAGCTACCAAATACTTCCATTAGAATCAAAGTGCAGAGGGAAGCACTAAATGGAAAGAGAAATTGTATTTTGGGGCAGTCAAATGGGAAATATGGATCCAACCCTGCAAGGTGCTGAGCATCCTCTATTCCCACTGCTGTCAGAGCTAAGGGGCACCCACCACCTTGCGATATATGGTCCTGTGGAGAGTAACCCACACTAGAAAGTATAGTCCTTTCACTCCCTCTGGTTCACATACAAAGTTTATGGTGTGTTGCTGCTTCCTGCAGCAGGGACCTAGGGCCTGCTCCATTGTTCACCAAAGTCAATGGGAGTCTCTCTCATTAGTCCTTTAGATCAAGCAATAGAGGGTTCATGCTTTTGGCGCCGACAGTCTCCAAGTCATGCCCACTGGCAGCCCATACAGGGTTTGGTTACATATGCACAAAAAATTTACTAGGAAACTAACTTCCGAATCTCAGATGCTACCAAGAACAGAACAATGGGCTGCCTGGAGCACACTTCACTCATGTCACTATTCATGTGCATCAGTGGTTCAGAGAATCTATACAAAACACCTAGTTTTGTATTAGCACTTCATTTAAACTAAAGAAGTGAATTCACAACATACCTTGCATTCTTGTGTATATTCTAGTTGAGGGCTGTCTGGAATAAAGTTCAAAAAGTCCTGAAATAAGTAATATTAGAATATTAGCAACTATGAAGCATTGAATCTGATGAGCACAAAACAGGAGGTGAGTAAATTTACCATCTCTATCTATTTTGGATTAGATATACTAGTGTAAAACATTACAATGCTTCTTTTCCACTTGGAGAAATAATCCTATCTCCTAGCCAATTCTTCATGGGAAGAAATCAGTTTTCATTAAGAGTTTACACTTTTAAGGCCAAATCATTCTTTCTGCAGAAAAAAAGTCCTGGAAAAGCTAGGAAATATATTTCAATTCAGAATGATCAGACACCCATCCTGAAGGGTTCGTCCCTCAAAGAGTGGATAGTAAGAGTGACTATTTGGATCCACAGATGTCATCGGATCTTCAGAAAAAAACTGGCTTTTTGTGCATCAGAAAGTGAGAATGGTGACCTCTCCTGGCTCAGTCACAGAATGGATCAGGAAACTATTACTTTGGTTGTTAGACAGAGGAACTCTTTTAGCTTGTATGGCAGAGACCAGTGTTTTGGGACCTGAGAGGCCAGAATTCTAGTTCCAGTTTCCTGTGTTTGTAGCAAATTTTCTTACCACACTCTTTGAGGTTCTCTGAACAGCCAATATCTTGTTCCCCAAGGAAAACTTGATGCATTTCACTTCCCCTTTGTCTTCCATTCTACACCAATAAATAAAATAAAAATCAATCAGGAGTATATTTCTATCGTTTGTTAGAAAATTTTAACAACTGTTATTTCTCCAAAAAGAGAACGGATAGGCAAAATGAAAGGCAGACATTCTTGTGTACAACTTATAAGAACTGCCAGACAAAAATAAGGTCCAATATTGATGCATCGAGATACAACAGGCAGTATATTCCTGAAGAATTCCTGAATGGATCAAGTCTACTATGGAGTTACAAATGATTATAGCCACATACAAGATTCAACAGCTTCCAAGAAATGCTCTGCCTTGACTGTTTTATTGCTACTATGAAATGGAATTCAAGGAAGAATTATGAACTTTGCTCATACTCTAATTCTAACTGAATGCATGACAGAAAACTATAGCTTAATGTAATGTAGAAAAAAGAATGCTTGCTTTGTGCCTAATTGTGCAAAGGTGCTGAATACTCTCAGCCACACCAATGTCAGTGACATTGCAGGACTAGTAACTTTGCCTCTGTGTTCTAAAACTATTTACTAATTGGGAAGACAGATTGATACCCGTGGATCCTGAAATTAGTGTAAAAGGGCACAGCCACACTGGGGGGAAAAAAGGTATACCAGTATTTTTATCATGTTAACTAACAAGCAGTAAAATCTTAGTGGGGACAAAGCTATGGTAATTTTAACATGTGTCAGCAAGTCAAGGTAAACACTAGGGGAAGACAGTCAGCTGAGAGAGATGGATTGTGGTTCCAACCTACAAGGCACTAGGACTTCAGAGAATTTGCTGCACACCTTCAAATCCCACTGATGTCAGAATTGAAGGCACTCATGGCCTTGCTAGATAGGGCCCCCAGGTACTAGTTCTTACCCTGATCTGCTAACGTGTTAAATGTACAATTGTCTTGTCCATACTAGGATTTTATCACAGAACTGTAGGACTGCAAGGGATCTCAATCGGTCATCTAGTCCAGTTCCCTGCACTCAAGGCGGGACTAATAACTAGACCATTCCTGACAAGTGTAACCTGTTCCTAAAAAACATCCAATGACAAGAGATTCCACAACCTCCCTAGGCACTTAGTTCCAGTGCTTAACTACTCTGACAGTTAGAAGTTTTTCCTAATGACCAACGTAAACCTCTCTTGCTGCAATTTAAAGCCCATTACTTCTTGTTCTATCCTCAGATGTTGAGGAGAACAAATTTTCACCCTCCTCCTTTATATACTTAAAAGTTTGTCCCCCCTCAGTTTCCTCCTCGCCACACTAAACAAACCCAATTTTTTCAATCGTTCCTCATGGGTCGTGTTTTCTAGATCTTTAATCATTTTTGTGTTCTCCTCTAGACTTTCTCCAATTTGTCCACATCTTTCTTGAAATGCACCACCCAGAATTGGACACAATACTCCAGATGAGGCCTTATCAGTGTGGAGTAGAGTGGAAGAATTACTTCTTGTGTCTTGCTTACAACACTCCTGCTGATGTTTGCTTTTTTTGCAACATTGTGAGACTGCTGACTCATATTTAGCTTATGATCCACTATAACCCCCAGATCCCCTTCCACAGTACTCTTTCCAGTCATTTCCCATTTTGTATGTGTACAACTGATTGTTCTTTCCTAAGTGGAGTACTTTGCGTTTGTCTTTATTGAATTTCATCCTACTTACTTCAAACCATTTCTTCAGTTTGCCCAGATCATTTTAAATTTCAGTCCTATCCTCCAAGCACTTGCACCCCCTCTCAGCTTGGTATCATCCACAAACTTTATAAGTTTACTTTCGATGCCATTATCTTAATAATTTATGATGTGTTAATAAAAATATACATTTTTTCCTAGGAAATAGGAGGCTGAAAGAGGACAGAGCTTTTAATCACAGATTTTTACAGGTGTTCTTCCACAGATACAGAACAGATAAGTAGTTTCTTTGGGGTATTGCAACCATACAGGCACATGGAAATTTGAGATTCATGGAAGTTTAGAGCATGTTAGCAAAAGATGCCATCTATTTTACAGAAATATGAGTTAGATTAAACAAGATACATTAAAATGCAAAACCAATATTAAGGAAATATTATGGCTTGAGAATTTAAATGCATAAGTAGGTAAATTCAAAATTATGGTTCCCACACCTGCCATAAATTGGCCCTCATATGTTTTAGTGCATCCGACTGCTAATGTTCAATAATGCCAAATTACAACTTATGCTAAGTCTCAGTTCATGTACAACCACATTTTTTGTTTGTTTGCTTGTTTGAAACTCTTGAGTTTTGGGTGTGTTTGAATTTTCAAACATAAAGGGAATATTAACAATTTTCTTCAATGGGGTTTTTTGTTTTAAGAAAACTTACTGCATTTGTTGTTATTGAATGAAAATATGTTCTTAAAACAAGCAACAGGATCAAGACATTCCAGTACTTTATGGATATTGCTCCTGGGTGACAAACTACAGTACAACCAAGAGACATATACAGTAAAAGATAGCTGCAAGATCACAATTGGTATCCTAGAGCAGTACAGAATACAGATTAAAATACCTTGCTGATCATACCTGAATGAAATGGGATTTTTGTCCTCCAACCCTTTAACAACCACCCCAGTGGCTCCACCAGATCGAACAGCAAAAACCTAAGAGTTAAAATCGAATATTTTTAAAAAAAGGCATTTTAAGACACAGCTTCATAGCTAACTCAAAGTCATATCATGGTCTCAACAAGCCTTATTTCTGTAAAACCATCCAAATATAAGAGATGAGCTCTAAAAAGAAAAAAAGAAAAGGAGTACTTGTGGCACCTTAAAGACTAACAAATTTGTTTGAGCATAAGCTTTCGTGAACTACAGCTCACTTCATCGGATGCATTCATGACAAGCAAGCAAGACAGCATAGGTCCAAGAGAAGTCATATTTGGAAGTAAAGAGTGACCTTAAAAATTACAACTAAAGGAGAAGTATATTTTGTTCAACACTCGAGTAAGAGAGACACCAATTAGCATTCAAAGTGACCTTAAGCAACAAGAGGCATTTACTCATAGAACTCCAAGGGATTTAGGTATTTTGTTAAGATCTGTATACAGGGATATGTAAAAAGGGTAATGTAGTCACCTAGTATCTATCTAGGTTCCAAGGAATCCTTGAAAAGTTGTGTCTGTCAAAAAGAAAGGAAATCAAATAAGCCCCTATTAAGTAATAATTAGGGCCCTTTGTTTTCAGTTTTAATTTTTCTCGGGAATTTATCGCTGTTTATTACCACAACAACAAAAACAGGTGAAAATCAGTGGAAAAAACTTATTTTTTCTGAGCAAATATTAGGGTTTATTTTGGTGGATGGATGGACAGAGGGGGAAGTATTCAGTAGATTAATGCTCTGATGAATGAAATTCAATGTTGTTTACTGCAGAACTAAAACAGAACTCGAAACACAATGCTACCTCTGAGTTTAGAAAACAATACATCTCTAATGCCCAAATAAAACTTTTCATTTTAATAAACAGTTTACTGTTACAGACATAGAACTATTTGTCTATATTTACATTTAATAATTGGGCCACACCATTTGCAGTGCATACACTCAACTTCATCCTTTTCACCTGTTTGTTTTTTTTAAACTTTCAAATACTTCCTTGTGAAACATATTCTGATAAAAAATTTTGTTCTTCCCATTTTAGCATGTCAGATCTTTAAACCGTTATCTGCTAGCAGCTTGAAATGTGTACATGCTAGGTGTCAGATTAATCAGTACATTCAGATGTGCATGCACTTCAGGGCTTGTGTGTGCCCCTGTTTGTTTATTGTGTATATCTTCTAGACTAATAAGTAGCCTTAATTCAACAGGCAGCTTTGCATATACACACACAGACTAATGTATTGTTATATATTAAAAATGCAATGTACTGTATTTTGCTAATAAAACAAGTTTTTTTTAATTATTTGTATGACACAAAAGCAGCGTGAAAAATCAGAAAAAAAACCCAAATAATACTTTTTGTAAAACCCAGGATTTTTTTGAAATCGGTTTAAACCGAAAAGGATGGGGCTTAGTAATAATGCAGAGTTCAAATACTGTGCAAACTGGAGCACAAAATGGAGAACTGTGTATCAGTCCCGAAGTTTATTGTACAATTTTTTTTTAAAGTCAGACAATAAGAAGGCTTAATACCTCAAGTACAAGGTTTGAAACAATAAAAAAAGTCACAACTGAGAAAAAGGAACCTGACAGTTAGCATGTTAGCAATAGAACAGAAACTTAGGCCTTTTCTGCACTACAAATGCTTTACTGATATAGTTATACTGAGAGAACCCACTAGTGTAGATGCAGCTTATGCTGATAGGAGGAGTTTTTCTGTTGGTATATAACTCCACCATCTCCCATGACATTAGCTACTTGGACAGGAGCACTCTTATCAGCAGAGCTGCATTTACACTGAAGGCTTATCTATACTCAAAATACTACAGCAGCCACTGCAGCACTTCAGTGTAGGCACTCGCAACAGTGAGGGGAGGGGTTCTCCCATCAGCGTAGTTAATCAACCTCCTGGAGTCACGGTAGCTAGGTTGACCTAGAACTGCCTACACCAGAGGTTAGGTTGGCTTAACTATGTCACTCAAGGGGTGGATTTTTTACACCCCTGAGCAACACAGCAGGGTCCACTTTTCTTTTGAGCGTAGATGCGGTCTCGGGGTTTTGCTGACATAGTTATGTCATCTGGGGGCATGGTTTTTTCACCCCCTTAACCAACATAATTATGCTGACCAAACATGGTAGTGTAAACCCTGGCCATACATGTAATCTCTAAGGCCTTGTCCACACTTAAAAGTTTTGTAGCTTTAACTAAGCCACCATAACTAAAGCAACAAAACTTCCTAGCGTAGATGCAGTTATACCAGTATAAAAGCACTTAGACCTATATAATTTATTCTGGTTCAGCAAAACAAACTAAGCTATACTGCTATATAGTGCCTTCTATTAGTATAACTGTGTCTAAGGTTTTCTACTGGCATACCCATGTTAAAAAAAAAAAAAAAAAATCACATCCCTGAGCCACAGTTATACTAGTAAGACTTTAAGTGGAGATGAGGCCTAAGAATCTCCAAGAGGTATTATTTGGGTAGCATCAACAGTAAGCTAGGCACAGTCCACACACATAAAAACATAGTTCCTGTTCCTTATAATATTCACAGACTAAGTTGCAATTAACTGTTACTGTAATATTTTACCCCATCTGGGTATCGCACCTGCTTATTGGCCTCATCGAAGAAGACGCAGTTGACGGGATTCGCCTTCTCGAATTGCACGGGCCACACGCACAGCGCCAGGTAACAGCCGCGGCTCATGGCGGCGCGAGCAGCCCGACCGGCGGATCCGATTCCAGCCGCGCGCGCCCGCCCGCTTCCTGATCCCCCTCCCCCTGCACGTGACTGTTACCTTAGATAACATGTATTAAATACATTTAAACTTTTGATTTTTTCTTTATTCTCAAAAACTAGTATTTTAAGATTTATGTATTTTTTTAAATCAGGCTGATATTAGGACAACCTTTTGTGGCTGTTACCAAAGAAGAGGATGAAGAACTTCTCACTGGAGGTCAGAAGTGAGGTAAAAAAGTATCTGGGACTTTTTTAAGTAAGGAGTGTGGGGCACAGGATATCCGTATCAAAAAGTGGATACAAAGCTGCAGGCTGCAGTCAGAGGCATATGGAAAATTTAGTGACCACAAAGAGTGGCAGAGACTGAAGTTCACAGCTAGATATTTAATTTCTCTTTTAAGTGAAAGCTTAAATTATATAGAAACTGATCATTTAGACCATCACAGAGACCAAGTTGGTAAGGGAGTATCTTTTATTGGACCAACTTCTGTTGGCGAGAGAGACAAGCTTTCGAGCTAACACAGAGCTCTTCTTCAAAAGCTTGTCTCTCTCAATAACAGAAGTTGGTCCAATAAAAGATTTAATAATTTTATTAAGATGATGCTGAAGTAAAAAGAAAACGGTACAGAGTTTAAGCATAGAAGTTTCTAGTTATCAGGGAATAAGGTACAGATTATCAAGGGGTGTGAAATTCAGTTTAGGAACGGGTGACGTAAGGAATACATAATCTGCAGTCTCCCCCATTGGGGGTAAAAGTTTAACGGGTGAAAGTACAGACATTGAGATATGGGGGTATGTTGTTCATATAATGGCTATGTTCAGGTGTGGAGTATAATGAGTGGATACGATGAGGAGGATGGATTTACCCTCATTTGGGGGGATTTAATGTTCAGTGAGTTTATGGTATTACCTCACCAAACCTGTCTCTCCAATATCCTACAACCAACCCGGCTACAACTACACTGCATTATATTAACACCATCCCTATTCACTAGGGTTAGGGTAAACTGCCTAGTCACCACAGGTGAGCGAGCTTTTCCAAGCACTGGCCAATGTTACTAAGCCTTTATTTTAAATTAGCCCTCAAATTAGAAACCAAGGAATGTGCTGGAGGAGGAGGAGGAGCAGCAGCCACCAGAACGCAACAGCAAAAGTTAGATTTTCCAGCTGTGACACCGCATCTGCCGCCGCGGGCTGTCCGGTCTCCAGTGCCACAGCCGAGGAGGCAGCTTTATATTTGCCATCTCGCATGATTCCAGCCTCTCCCGAAGAACAGCGAGGGAACGACTAGCACCAAGAACGGCTTCTCCGCACACGCTCGGGGGGTGGGGCTGCAGGCCGTTTACTCGCGACGAGCCTCTCGCTGTGCGGCTTCAGGGGCGCCAGGGTGAGAAAGCCGGGGCGCCGTTTCGCTGAGGACCCCGGGGAGCGCTCCAGGAGGAGGAGGAAACCCACGCTTCAGCACCAGCCCCCTCGGCACCAGCTGCGCCCAGGCAGCGCTGGCTCGGACCGTGCCCTGACGGGGTTAGCAAGGCTGGGGCTGCAGCCGCCGCTTTCCCGACCCCGCGAACAGGGGGGGCGGGCGGGCAGGATTTTTAAGCCGTCTCTCCACAGCGGCAGCGGCGGGCGAAGCCCCCCGTGGCCCGGCCAGCCTCGCACCGGACAAGCCCAGGCACCACCCTCGCTGCGATGGCGGATGGCCACAGGGCCGGGGAGATGCCCCCGGCGGGTCCCGCCCCGGGGAGGTGCGAGGGGAGGGCGGCGCATCCCGCCTTGGCAGGGGCAGACGAGCGGCCCAGCCGGCCGCGGGGCTCCCACCGCCAGGTGGGCTACCGCCGATGCCCGTCCCGCCCCGCCCCGCAGGCGGGTCCTTGCCCCGGCTGGGTGGGGGGAGGGGGGCCCCGGCCTCGCACCTGCTTATTGGCCTCATCGAAGAAGACGCAGTTGACGGGATTCGCCTTCTCGAATTGCACGGGCCGCGCGCACAGCGCCAGGTAACAGCCGCGGCTCATGGCGGCGCGAGCAGCCCGACCGGCGGATCCGATTCCGGCCGCGCGCGCGCGCCCGCCCGCTTCCTGCTCACCCTCCCCCTGCACGTGACCCGGGAGTCGCTGGCCCCCGAAAGGCGGGGGGGGACCAAGAGCGCGGGGCGGAGTCTGGGGCCGAATGGGCCCCGCCTCCCTCCGGGCGTCCCACCCCCGCCGCTGTCACCGCACCTGTGGGGAGGGTCCGGGTGCAAAGGCTCCTGCGTGCGACCCCGCCTGCTCCGACCTAGGGTCCTTCCTGGCCGCGCAGCCCGTCAGCGCCCCTCCACTCCCCAGCTGCTGCGAGTCCTTTTCCTTCCCCAGCCTTGTCACCCCCCCCGCATGCCAGCACCACTGCCTCCCTCCCCCCCAGCTCTGCCATTTCAAACTCCTGAGCCCCTACCGCCCGCCCGGCCACCCCCCACTCTTGCCTTCGCCATCCCTAGAGCCTGCTGACCTCATTGCTTCGAGGCATCCATCTCTCGTCCCCGGCGTGGTTTGATGGCCCCGGCTCATCCTGTCCACATTTAAGCCCCGCTTTAAAACCCACAGCTGTTTATAGCGAATCCAACTTGTCCGGAAAATCCTTCTGATTCCTCCCTGTTCCCTACCCTGGTTCTGTCCATCCATAGATTAAGAACTACTGAGGGTAGGTAGGGACCATCTCTTCCTGGGTGTTTACACTGTGTCAATGGTACAGAATGAATAGCCATTTATTTCCAGCCCTGCTGCAGAATGTATGAACTTTCTAAAAACAAGATGTACCCAGTTGTCCATCTTCTTCCCTCCACCTAGTATCTTCAGACATCAGCCTCAACTTTGGTGTTACACATCAGGCAACTGAGGTCTGAGCTGCAGACTTCTCTTGTGGAAGGCAAGCGGAAGGCTGGTTCACACAGCCTTTGCCAGCAAGAGCTTTCCTCTCAAAGTCAGGCCTGAAAGTAAGCCGGTAAGGTGTACCGGTAAAAAGTGGCCCCCCGTAGCAGCCCATACACAGCCGACACTAAAGCGCTACTGCAGCAGCGTCGGCCAGAGCCTCGGGCTGTGCGGGCCAGGCACTGCAGATGGGCTGGCTGGGGGACACTGACCCCCCAGCCCCACCCCCCTTCCGCCCAAGGCCTGGCCCCCGCCCCCATACTGGTAAGTGTTGAATGTTACTTTCACCACTGCTCAAAGCCAAGCCTGTGTGCAAGTACTGTTTGGAGGTGGAGTTACTGTCAGTTCTCTCATGCCATTTTTCGTCATCTGGAGAAAACATGGAATTTTATTTCTCACACTTGAGTCAAATGAACCTAGTCAAAGCAAGGCTGAGATATTACAATACATACAAACTGTCTGAAGATTGAAACAGACGTATGTAAAATAAACCAACTAGACCATGATTTGTTGATGACATTTATCACAGGAAGGATCTGCAACCTGTCACACTTAGCCTTATGTGGGAAATCAATTTTTCTATACAAAAATGTCATACATTTCAAACTGACAGCTTTAATTGTTTTTGAATCCAAACATTTCATTATAAAGTAGTAATTAAGAATGTTCTCCTATAACCCAAAGGCCTCTTCAAATGAGGTCACTTTGTTAGTTTGTCACACAAAAAATATTTATGGTCAAGACATTGCACACAGCACTGAAGGAATGTGTTCCTCCCTGCTTGCTGTAGTGTTTCAGAAAAATAAACTCAATTTAAAAGAAAACCTCACCTAACTGCTATGCAAGTGAACTTCTTGTTAGAACTACTGTTTACTGACTTCAAAGGGAGTCCACCCTACCTACAGCTCATTTCAGGATTGTGACCATTATTTGCATCTGAGATTTCCAGCTGAACCATTTTTAATCACAGATTATAAAACCCCATTTAGGAAGAGAAATTCATGTTAAATCATTTGTATAAACATCTAACCTCTTAAGAATCCTTACCTCCTTTGTACTAAAGTATTGGTTATTAAAAAACCAAAAGTTTTATAAATGTAGGTTACCTTTCACCATTTATGTGGGGTTTTTTTTGGTATTTATGACATTGAGCTTATCATATGCTTCTCTTCCAGTGGTTCTGTTCCATATGGGATGGTGAAATTTCTAAATCAGTTTGGAAACAGATTGAAACTTTACCTCATGCAACATAGGTAAGGTCTAACTATGTAGCGGGGCAGAACAAGGCCCCAATACCAAAATGTAACAGGTAGGAGCGACAATAGGAGTAAGACTTAAAAAAAAAGAAAATTATACTTGGTAAAAACAGAAGTTGTGGAACTGGAAATTAATGAACCAAAATGGGTGTGTTGAAAACTAGGCCTAATTAGTGGACAAAACAAGGGGATGGGATATTCTACCCATCACTTCCTTTTTGGGTCCTTAAAGAGAGACTTGCGGGGGGTGTGGGGAGAGCAGGGGGAAGAAATAGGAAAGAATAGACCAGGGGTCGGCAACCTATGGCACGTGTGCCAAAGACGGCACACGAGCTGATTTTTAATGGCACGCTGCTGCCTGTCGGATCCCAGCCACTGGCCCCGCTCAGCCCACTGCGAATCCAGGCTGGGACCCCGGCAGGCAGCCGCGTGCCAATAAAAATCCTGCCCTCCCTGGCCCGCTCTTTTCCTCCCCCCCCCACCGTCGTGGGGGCAAGGTGAAGAAGCTTGGTCCTGCCGGCTGCTGCTAGCAGGGCAGGCAAGCTCCCCCTCCCCGCCTCTTACCCCCAGCATGCTGGGTTCCTGCCCCTCCTCCTCCTCCTGTCCCTCCCTGCCGCCGATCAGCTGATGGCCCTTGCAAGGGAGGGGAAGGGGAGCCGCAGTGCCGTTGCTGCTGTGGGGAGGAGGCGGAGAAGAGGTGGGGATGGGGTCTTGGGGAAGGAGGGTGGAATCAGGGCATATCCCCTCCAGCCTCTGCCGTGAGCCGCTCTGAGCAGGGGGCTGGGAGCACCCCTTGACCCTAGCCCACACCCCCAGCCCTCTGCCCTGACCCCCTCGACCCCCCTGTCCCCCTCACACACACCTGCCCCTGCCCTGACTCCTGCACCCTCCTCACATACCCCCAGCCCCCTGCCCTGACTCCTACACCCCCCCCCACAACCCCAGCCTTAACTCCACCACCCCCCACACCCTGACACCTGCAGCCCCCTCACATGCCCCCAGCCCTCTGCCCTGACTCCTGCACCCTCCTCACACACACCCCAGCCCTCTGCCCTGATCTCTGCACCCCTCACACACCCCAGCCTACTCCCTGACCCCTGCACCCCCCCACGACCCCAGCCTTTACTCCAGCACCCCACACACATACCCAGCCCCCCCACACCCATGCCCTGACTCTTGCACCCCCCACATTTTCACCCCCACCCCTTGCACCAAACGGGAGCTCCTGCATCCCCCCCGCCACATTCCTGCCAGCACCCCTCACACCAAATGGGAGCTGCCCAGGTAAGCACGACACACCCAAACCTCCTGCCCCAACCCTGAGCCCCCTCCCTCATTCTAGCTCCTGACCAGACCCTACACCCGAACCCCCAGCCTGCTCCTTCACCCTCAGCCCTGTGCTCAGTGCACTCCCACCCTCAGCTCAGTGCAGAGAGAGAGAGAGAGAGAGGAAGAGAATGGTCTAGAACCAGGGAGAAGGTAGGTATCTACTCTATGTGGGCAGGGCCGGGATCCCAGGCCAGCAGCGGGCTGAGCAGGGCCGGCAGCCAGGACCCTGGCTGGCAGGAGCTGGTGGACGGAACCCTGGACTGGCAGTGGGCTGAATGGCAGCAGGCTGAGCCGCTCAGCCCACTGCCGGTCTGGGGTCCCGGCCGCCAGCCCTGCTCAGCCTGCTGCCGGTCTGGGGTTCTGACTGCCAGCCCCCTGCCAGCCGGAGTCCCGGCCGCAGGCCCGGCTCAGCCTGCTGCCTGCTTAGGTGAACAGAACGCCAGGCTGGCAGCGGGCTGAGCGGGACGGCAGCATAAGATCAGCATTTTAATTTAATTTTAAATGAAGCTTCTTAAACATTTTGAAAACCTTGTTCACTTTACATACAACAATAGTTTAGTTATATAATATATAGACTTACAGAGAGAGACCTTCTAAAAAACTGGCAAGCAAAACCTTAAACCAGTGAAATCCTTGCTGATCTTAAACACAAAAAAGAGGCTTACAAGAAGTGGAAGATTGGACAAATGACCAGGGATGAGTATATAAATATTGTTCGGGCATGTAGGAATGGACTCAGAAAGGCTGAATCACACCTGGAGTTGCAGCTAGCGAGGGATGTTAAGAGTAACAAGAAGGGTTTCTTCAGATATGTTGGCAATAAGAAGAAAGCCAATGAAAGTGTGGGCCCCTTACTAAATGAGGGAGGCAACCTAGTGACAGAGGATGTGGAAAAAGCTAATGTACTCAATGCTTTTTTTGCCTCTGTCTTCACGAACAAGGTCAGCTCCCAAACTACTGCACTGGGCAGCACAGCATGGGGAGGAGGTGGCCAGCCCTCTGTGAAGGAAGAAGTGGTTCGGGACTATTTAGAAAAACTGGAGGTGCACAAGTCCATAGGGCTGGATGCGTTGCATCCGAGAGTGCTAAAGGAATTGGCGGATGTGATTGCAGAGCCATTGGCCATTATCTTTGAAAACTCATGGCGATCGGGGGAAGTCCCAGAAGATTGGAAAAAGGCTAATGTAGTGCCCATCTTTAAAAAAGGGAAGAAGGATGATCCTGGGAACTACAAGCCGGTCAGCCTCACCTCAGTCCCCGGAAAAATCATGGAGCATGTCCTCAAGGAATCAATTCTGAAGCACTTAGACGAGAGGAAAGTGATCAGGAACAGTTAGCATGGATTCACCAAGGGAAAGTCATGCCTGACTAATCTAATTGCCTTCTATGATGAGATAACTGGTTCTGTGGATGAAGGGAAAGCAGTGGACGTGTTATTCCTCGACTTAAGCAAAGCTTTTGACACGGTCTCCCACAGTATTCTTGTCAGCAAGTTAAAGAAGTATGGGCTGGATGGATGTACTACAAGGTGGGTAGAAAGTTGGCTAGATTGTCGGGCTCAATGGGTAGTGATCAATGGCTCCATGTCTAGTTGGCAGCCAGTATCTAGCGGAGTGCCCCAAGGGTCGGTCCTGGGGCCGGTTTTGTTCAATATCTTCATTAATGATCTGGACGATGGTGTGGATTGCACCCTCAGCAAGTTTGCGGATGACATTAAACTGGGAGGAGTGGTAGATACGCTGGAGGGTAGGGATAGGATACAGAGGGACCTAGACAAATTGGAGGATTGGGCCAAAAGAAATCTGATGAGGTTCAACAAGGACAAGTGCAGAGTCCTGCACTTAGGACGGAAGAATCCAATGCACCGCTACAGACTAGGGACCGAATGACTTGGCAGCAGTTCTGCAGAAAAGGACCTAGGGGTTACAGTGGACGAGAAGCTGGATATGAGTCAGCAGTGTGCCCTTGTTGCCAAGAAGGTCAATGGCATTTTGGGGTGTATAAGTAGGGGCATTGCCAGCAGATCGAGGGACGTGATCGTTCTCCTCTATTCGACATTGGTGAGGCCTCATCTGGAGTACTGTGTCCAGTTTTGGGCCCCACACTACAAGGATGTGGAGAAATTGGAGAGAGTCCAGCGAAGGGCAACAAAAATGATTAGGGGGCTGGAACACATGAGTTATGAGGAGAGGCTGAGGGAACTGGGATTGTTTAGTCTACGGAAGAGAAGAATGAGGGGGGATTTGATAGCTGCTTTTAACTACCTGAAAGGTGGATCCAAAGAGGATGGATCTAGACTATTCTCAGTGATAGCAGATGACAGGACAAGGAGTAATGGTCTCAAGTTGCAGTGGGGGAGATTTAGGTTGGATATTAGGAAAAACTTTTTCCCTAGGAGGGTGGTGAAACACTGAAATGCGTTACCTAGGGAGGTGGTGGAATCCCCTTCCTTAGAAGTTTTTAAGGTCAGGCTTGACAAAGCCTTGGCTGGGATGATTTAGTTGGGATTGGTCTTGCTCTGGGCAGGGGGTTGGACTAGATGGCCTCCAGAGGTCCCTTCCAACTCTGTTATTCTATGAAATTAGAGTGAATAAATGAAGACTCGGCACACCACTTCTGAAAGGTTGCTGACCCCTGGAATAGACAGAGACTAGTGGAACAAGCCTCACCATCATGGCTGCCACTCCCACCATCTCCTGTGACCCCACATCTCATTTTTCCTAATCCTGATGGATGTCATGACCAGATCTAGCCACAGAGAGGGAGCCAGATTACATCACCAGCCACTGCTACAAGCTCCAGCTGAATCCCAACCACCATCTGAGATGATATTGAACTTTACCAGCAACAACAGCTCCAGCCCATTTCAACTAACTTTCTTTTACTCAAAAGGGTAGTTATTACCATCTCTGCTACCATCTAAGAGACTCAAACATGGGTTTTTTCCTTTTTAAAACTCTCCAGCTAAAGGGAAAGGAAACAAAAATATTGTTGGAAATGGAAAGGCTTTACATTTCCATTTCAAATGCTTTAACTGTTTTTCCTTCATTTCTGGATCCTTAAAAGGTTAAAAGAATTTTTTTAATGGTGTGTTTGCCATGGTATTAAGCAGGCTAAGGTCTCTGGATCCAGGGACTCTGTTTAACACTGTTTAATGTTGGACAGCAAATGGGTTATGTTAACACCTTTGGCCCATTTATTCCATCTAAATCAATACAACGGTAGGCAGTCTGTAGTAAAAAGCATTATAAACATGCTTGTCTTTTCAGACACATGAGGTTCTGTACTGGCATGTTTGTGACCTATTGTGTTTGTTTTAACTAAAATGCCTATCAATACTCATGGGGAAATTCCACACCACTGCACAAGCACAGAATTAACACCCCCTGCACACTTTTCACCCCCTGCAAAATAATTGATTCTGACAGGGAGGCAAAGGGAAGCTGCAATTACACCATTTGCCAACCAGAGGCTGATGTGGCACAAGAAGGGAGGATACCTGGCTCACAGTCGGAGAGAGGAGGCTGAGGCTGTCTTCTTCACAGCACCCTGCCTCCCAGGCCAGGTGAGGAGGCATGGGGTGGGGGGGTGATGGCAGAGTGGGGCACATGGGGTTGCTGGGGGGGGTGTCAGACGGGGGTTCAGAACTAGCGGAGGAACAGACTGAGGCAGGGGCACAGGAGCTAGTGGGGTAATAACATTGAGGCAGGGGCTGAATGGGAGTGGGGGCATAGGGCCACACAGGGACAGGGTCTGCTATTCCTGGCTGGATGGGCAGTGGGGGTGCAGGGACACTTCCATCATGCACTATGCAATCACCCAGCAGGCCAGAGACAATGTGGCCTTTGGAAGAGCAGTGCTCCAATCAATAGACAACTCCGACCCCACCTCCTGAATTTGGGCTTGTAAGTCACCTGATTGGAATGGACATGAACAAACACTTGAAGAAAAATGGTTACTCACCTTCTCGTAACTGTTCTTCAAGATGTGTTGTTCATGTCCATTCCAGTACCCACCCTCCAACCCCTCTGTCAGAGTAGCCGGCAAGAAGGAACTGAGGGGGTGGCGGGTCGGCAGGGCTCTATATTGAGCGCCACTAAGGCGCAACTCCAGGTGGGCGCCCAGACTGACCTGACAGATGTTGCTAGGGGAAAATCTTCTGGCTCCTGTGCACACGTGCACACACCCAATTGGAAAAGACATGAACAACGCATCTCGAAGAACAGATACGAGAAGGTGAGTAACTTTTTTCTGTATTGTAGTTTAAATGAATTACTCAAAGTTCTGTATTAATATGCTTTGTAAGGAATCTATTTGTCAGAAGACATTTCCTGAAACTTTTTTGGTGTCTGTATCATTACAGACAGCTATTTTGAAATAAAATTACCAAAATAATTGAAACTGGTGTGATTATATTGTGTTATTTTGACAAAATATGCAGAATTTGAGATTGTGTGCAGAATTAATTTTTCAGTGCAGAATTGCCCCAGGAGTAATCAATGCTCTGGTTCTTATGAAAGAAGAGGCAGCTGGCAATGTTTACTAAACTGCTGGAAACATCCAAGTTTAAGAGGTGAGATTACTCAAGCCACCCAGTTATGATGTTGTGTGTAATGATGCTGACACAGTTTAGTCCCATCTGGAACACTAGTTCCAAGTGATCTGTTGCTGACAAGGCTTTTAGGACTAACTCAAGTCAGTGCAATGTCTCAACAACATACTACACAAGAATACAGCCACAAGATCTCAAGGTTTTACTTCACCATTCATTTTCCAACAGGAAGAGCACCTGCACAGCACACAGAGAATGTCACACACAGCAACAATTTATCCTGCCTGGTAACAAGTACCATTACAAAGGGCAATAAAATAAATATACAGAAAATGATTTAATCTTCAGGATTTTCTAATTCATACCATCCCGTTAAATCAGCTCATCTTCTAAATGCATTGTTTCACAGAAATAAATTTTTGTCAGACTGTAATTCTAGTGAGATCTGGACAGGATTAAAAGGTTATATATAAATATATAAGAAACAAAAGATTAAATACTTTAGTCAAAAAGTCAATGAAAAACACAAGCGTTTTCTTAATTTCTACTTTAGTAGGAGAAAAACCTCAAAACATGTTCATCTTTATTTCTTGCCACAGTTTCATTGTGTAATAAATCAATTGTGATAATCAGCTTTGGTTCTGTTAAGATTTCTAATTTGACTTTAGTCGAATCAGAAGTGTCCAAAGTACAACCCAGAGTTTCAATATAGGCTGAACGCAGAGGATCCATTTTGATCCAACCCGTACACTGAAGGATTTCTATAGTACAAATAAAGATTACTGCTATCTGCTCCATTTTATGGAAACTGAGTGCAGCCAGCAGGAGGTCCTGACATTGCCAACTCAGCCCTCTGGACAGTTCAGGCTTGCTCCCCACCATGTTGCATGCAATTATATTTAGACAAACAGCTTAAGCCACATTCCATTTACGTGAAGAAAAAAAAAGATTTTAAAATGTGTGAAGGATGGTTACATTAAGAAATCAGATTTTTGTGACTGTCTAATTTAATTTTTTTGTTTGTTTTAAATGTGGAAAAAATGGGCTACACCTACGTTGTGTGTATATATAGATATAGAATCTTAAACCAGATAGGTTTTAGGGGTGGCAAAGGGGAGGATGATAGGGACTACTGCTCTTCCCTACCATTTACACGGTAGCCACCACTAGTCTGGAATTGTCAATTTAAAAAAAAAAAATTGAAGACATTTAAACTCTGAATCATGCCAAATATGATTAACTCAGCTATAATAATCTAAAGTAACTGAAAGGTTGGTTAAATCATCAGAACATTAGATGTGGTGACATTCTATTCACAGTGCCATTCTAAAATCCCAAGAGCCTAACTTGCAGGCCAATATAAAAAACACAAGCACCAAGGTACACTCATTGTGTTTTCCTTTTTGGTATTCCAAGTCAACCACACATTCCCTCATCTTTGGAAGGTGACTTTACCACGCCTCTAACATGGTTAGAAGCAGCGAACTTGTTTCTTTTAAAGCAGTTATGCATTCGGTGCTATTCATTGTATATTATTGGTGGATCTCCATCACTTGAAAATGGAGACGTCTTCTTTCCATGTTTCTGCACATGATCTTCATTCATTTTCTCCAAAGCTTCAATCTGTAAGACAGAAATAAATCCACTCTGAAGCTTTTGTAAAAACTGGGCCTGTAAGCATGTGCTTCAAAATAGTTTGTTAAAACAGCTAGTTTACAGGAGTAAACTAGTTCACATATTATGATCCATTTCCTGAACATCTAACGCTTTCAGTGGTTCAGCCACCCCAGCTTTAAACAAGGGTGTGATATGCAAAGTTTAGGAGATATTAAGAAGCATCTACCTTGAGCAAATTAATGGAACAGAAGTACATACAATGCTTTCAGGTTCAGGGACAGGGTTTTTCAAGGGGGAAGGTCCCCATAGTTTAGACTGTGTCCATAATTTCCCCAAAAGCACTTAAGTGTCAATTTTGTCAAGCCTAAAACAACACTGCTGTATCTCAACCCCCCCTGAACAGTGGTGGAAGTTCCAGAGTAGCCTCATGATGGGACAGCCCAGCCCACCCCCGATGTCAATGGTACTAGCAGAGCAGTAAATAAAGTCACACTCAAGTGCTTTACATGATTAAAATAGTACAGTCCTATTCTGTTTTGGTCTGCAGCCTATAAAGAGCTAGTCTGGGGCACTACTTTCTCCAATACTCAAAGAAGAGAAAACAAAAAAGAAGGAATGTAAATAGGGAGATACTGGGGCTTCACACTGGTGTCCCTAACAGCTTGGAAGCTATGGTTTGAAGCTTACAGAGGGGCTATCGAAATTACTCTTTGAAAGATCAGATTGTGTAACAACATTCACACATTAATGCACCTCTCCCTATTATGGCAAATCATAAAACAAAATAGTCAAAGGATTTCGTAGGAGAACACCACAACCATCTTACAACTCAATGAAGCATGGAGACTTACCAGCATTTGAGAGTGGAAAAAAACTGAAATAACACTGATGAAATAGTTAGCAGTTCCCTAGAATGTTACATTGTGTCTTATTTCTTTCCTCCTTTGGCTGAGCACACTGGTAGTACACCCAGCTCAGGAGCTGAATAGAACTAAATTTCTCACCTCCTACATGTTTCTGCATTAATACAGAAATGCATAGTTTTATGGCTGGGACCGGCATGGGTCTGCACTGCTAGGGCCTATTAGGACAACTCTCCAGTGCTTTACTACTATTAAGAGCCCTTTTACCTAGTAACTCAAGAATGCTTGAAGACATTAAAAATTTCTCTATATAAACACACATCCCCTCTTCCTGCTTAAGACCTCTCCCCCTTCATCCCGTATTTGTCAGAATGTAATTGAAATGACATCAGGATGCACTTAAGAAATGAGTTACAGGCAAGATTAAAAAAATCAGGAAGTTAAATGTGGCTTTAGAAGTCTAATTTTAGGATCTTAAATTTTTGAGAATCCTAGCACATAAGCTTTATTTTTAGGTTCTAACCTTTTTCATTTAAAATTTAAAATAAGCAATAAAAGTTAGATAATTTTTAAAATAGCTTCTTTGTCCTTGCATGACCCCACTAGTATTTTTATTTAAAAAAAACCTTTATTCAGTGGTCTAAGAAACATTGTGACTTAATTAAAACAACCTCAGTTATATGTAAGATTATGTAAAGAGCTATTAACATACAGACAAATTATACCAGTTGTATCAACTTCTGCTATTGCTATTACAACGTAGAAAAAAATCGGAATTTAAAAAGCTGGAGATTTAGGTTTACTATAGTTTCACCAGCTATCCTAACAGGATTAGTCATAACAACTAAGAATGTTGAAGAAACAGGATTGTGGCTGGCTGCTAGCTAGCGGACCTTAATTTACTAGTGTTAGATATCACCCACAGAGGGACTCTTACCTCAGCTAGGAAATCAACTTCATTGTCAGCTGCAATATTTAAACCTGAGACAGCATTGAAGAGCTCCCGTTCATTAGGTGCTTCTGATACACCTCCCTTCTGGAAGAACTGTTAAAAATGAAAGAATGTATTACAGTGTCTTTAACCAGACTTTATAAAATAGTACATGGTGTATTTCACAAACTACAATTACTAATCAGATATGGAAGTAGCACTTAAGCTTGACTCCCCCCCCCCCCCAAGACAACCAAGCAACATGATCCAAGAGCATGTTTCAGTTCTAGGAGCACCATTTTATTCCTCTCTAATGCTCAATCTCACTCCAATATGGTCTTCCTGTATCTGAACACACCACTCAACATTTACAAGTGAATTTTTATAGACAAGTGATCATTTCCAAAACTGAATTTGATGATTTTATCAACTTCATATATTTAAAAAAGTCTGTTCCCCACCCCCAGAAAAAGACTTTTACATCAGAGTTCAACTACAGAAAAAAAAACACAAGCAGAGGTCACTAACTACAGAACCCCTACCTGTGAAACATTCCTACAGTCTCTGAACAAAAACTCAAGTCCATGAGGGTGGGTTGGCTCCACAGATTGACTTACATCAATTAACCAGACCTAAAGTAAAGAGAGAAACGTTCTGGTTCACATAGTGCATACGGACACTCAACATTAAATACACCTTTTTTTTCCTACTTTAAGAATATGCTCACCTTTCCATCGTGCCATAGCATGTTGTACTCACTCAGGTCAGCATGAACAAGTGAGCACTCTTTATATAACTGTTGCATCATCTGCGAGAGGTCAGACAAATGATTAATTAAGCAAAGAATACCCGTTTGAGTAGTAATTGATCAATCAGCACTGTTTGTACAACCAAGGTAAAGCAAAGCATGTTTTCCACCCAACTAGTAGTCACATTTCAAGTATACATGCAGTTGGGTTAATGTGAGGAATTGTGACATCACATCTTTTATTCCTGTTAAATAGAAACTAAATGTTCAGAATTTCAAGGAAAACAGTTATGCTAAAGAAAAGCATTAAGACTAGTGAACTTATCTGAACTCTGTCCACCAGTCCAACTGCAATAGACAGATAGGCATGTTTAGACAACTCTTACCTCACCCCCTATCAAACAGATAAGCACTCACTGATGACTTTTCACCCAGAGTCATGACATTAGAAATTACACAAAATGAA